AGCAGAATCAAATACTCACCAGCAGCCAGAGTTTGACAAGTCCCCAGTGTGACTTGGAAGCCAAAATCCCATTTTTGAAAGGTAACCAGAGAATTCAGAGAAACGTGTTTCACAGGAAGTCAATTAAACTGGCACTCCAGAGTGCTTTTAACTTTTAAAGTGTAATTTAGATACTTCAAAACAGTACTGTGCAGCTAAATCCTCTGAGGCGCTGTGCACATGTGCCTCTTGGAATGGTCAGTGGGAATTGGGGCTGCAAGCTGCTCTGTGCTGTTACAGTGCTGGGCAGTGCTGCAGGCCCTCGTCATTAAGGAGCAGTGTGATGCAACAGGGACAGCATCAGCCATTGCACCTCGAGGTAAGGAGCTTCTGTGCCACGGCCAGACGTGAGTGTATGTGTTCATCCAATTTGGTTGTGATTCTGGTCGAAGAGCTGACACAGAATAGCATGGCTTGGAAGGGACCACTGCCTTTTTATTCCATAGCGTACCTTGATGAAAGGAAAATCTCTTTGCTGACTGTACATAAAGAACCTTGCCCAGGAAATGTTTTCCTTTGGCTGGCAGCAAGGCACACTCTGGGAGCACAAAGTCACAGCCCTGTGTCCGGGCACTGGGAGCCCTAGCACACACTTGAGTCCCATCTTGAGTTTCCTGGTAGGTCTCAGGTTACTGATGTAATTAGGTTAGAGTGGCTTGTACAGTATGTCTGATTTCAAAGTAAAATCAGAGCACTGTGCATAATATTATGCAAATGTCATAGCAACAGTAAGGCAGACTTCTAAGAAATGCTAATGAGTTAAGCTGTTCTGCAAAACCCTAACCTGGCCAAGCAAAAACAAACACAGCACTTAAAATTCATACAAGAAACTCACATGTTCCTCTATAAGAAAATAAATTAAAAAAAAAAACCAAAAAAACCCTACTAAAAACACAACCTAAAATGTCTTATCAAACTATTGCAGCAGGAAAGAAAGGAGCAGGAAGGGAGTGGTGTAGAATTACACACAGCCACCTGTAGCAGTGCTTGGTGCCTGTTGAGCTCCCATTCCTCACTGCACACTGAACTCCCAGCTCCACGCTGCTTGCTCCACTCAAGGCTGGAGGGCAGCCACCAGACACGGGTGCCACCAAGGGCTGGATGATGCCAGTGCAAAAACTACAGCATTCCTGAACCGCAGGCAGGTGCCAGGGAATTAAAAACCAGACCATTTGTCCTCATTCCCCATAAAAATGCCATTCAGGTAATCAAAGATGTGAAAGCACCTGGAAGATGCCAAGACACAGAGATGGCCAGCAGGGCGTGCTGGGCCATCAGGCTCTGGGACAACCCATGGGCTGAGCACAGTGAACAGGTTGGCATTAGCAGCATGTGCTGCCTGTGTGCTGCTTAATGCCCCCCTATTACCCACCCCCCACAAAAAAAAAAAGCTGGGGATGCTTTGCAGGGTGACCAGGCTGTGTCCCATGGTGACACCGAGGCAGGGGCAAAGCGTGGCTGGGTACAGGTTGTCTGGTCATCTGCTCATGTCTGTTTTCTTTTCTCCTTATTATTTCCAGATCAAATGGATCTTTGTGCAAGGATGAGGTTTTGCAAGCAGGCAGTGGTCCATCCCATCCCAGGAGCAGTTTGGGTTACCTCCCTGTTGCTCTGTCAGCTGCCCACCGAATTTGCAGAGCAGTTCCCTCCTCTGTTGCAGCCGCACATCCTCAGCACTGCGACTGCAATTTGCACCTCCCCAGCAAGCCCCAGTGCACCTGGCCTTCAATCTGCCACGTGATGGGGTTCATCAAGGCTGAAATTAAACCTTTCCTCTCCAAAGGCAGCAGAACTTAATTCAGTACAGTCCACAAGATCCAGCTATAACAAAGCTGTTTGAGACCAGTTATGCGGCATCTGAAAAGAAAGAACGCTGCAACACAGCCCGACTTTAGAAGCCCACGTTGACTATTTATTTGGGTAATTGAAAATTTTATCTAAATTAAGATAAATGCCGGCTTCGTGATGCACACATCTCATTCTTCATCATCTCAGCATGGCTGCAGTGCTTCTGGAGATGGTTGTGTTTAATCTTTCTAAGTGTGTCACCGTAAACCAGAGCGTGAGTGCGGCTGCAGGGACAGGCGTGGGGCACGGGGCTGCTGCTGAGCTCCTGCTAAGCAGGCAGTGGTTTCGAGATCAGCATCTATCCATCAGCATTTGCTTTATAAAACACAGTAAAAAATGCTACTAAGTTTTGCTTTGAAGTGAAATCATATTCTGTTTGATTGATTTTAACATGACTGGGAATAATTTTCCCCTCTCAGGAACCATCCCCCTCCCACCACCTAATGTTGCGACCTCACCAATGATTCTCCTGCTCAGAATGCAGACACAAACACACCACAGCCTCTCGGAACACCTCTTTAAAAAGGGAAACCATGCAGAGACATTTAAGTTACGTACAAAATGTGGATTAGACAATATGAAACGGCACAAAGGAAAAACTCAAAGTCCCAGAGCAGAGTCACTAAGAGCTGCAGAGCGCACACAGTGTGGTGGCCAGCAAAGTGGTTGTGTCTGCTGGGGATACAGGGCTGCACAGCCACCAAACTTGAAATTCAGAAGTAAGCCAGGCCTGGCCATTTCCCTGTATTTGCTCAGGTGACTGAACAGCTGCTATATGAAATGAATACCATATTCAGAATTAATGCTTATGTTCACTGGAACCTCTCAGGGTTCGATGGTGTTCTGCTGGGGGGGACAGGGGTGACGGTGAGTGGCCAGGGAGAGCACAGCAGCAGCAATGAGGTGCAGCTCAGGGCTCCTGCCTGCAGATGTGCCCTGCAGGGGCTGCGGAGCTGAGCACACTCAGCACACTGAAGCGCGTGTGCAGTTCGCTGACTGTGACACATCTTTCACATATACAAACAGTTCCATGCCGTAGACAGATCCTAGTTTTGCATCGCTTCTGATTTTTTTTTTGCACATTTTCTTCTTTACTTGCAAGAAACTGAGAAAAACTACTCTGCATGTCCCAGTGCAGACCTAGCAGTTTGCCTCAATCTTGGCACAGAAACCCAGTGCCAGGTGCACCCATGGCACAGCCAAGGACACTTCCTGATAACTTCCCCCTGCCATGACTGGAAGTGCCCTGCTGTCAGACCCGAGCTGCCCTGCTTGTGGCTGGCACCGACACTCACACACCTCCGTCATCACAGCCCCCCTGCCTTGGTGTTGAGGGAGGTCAAATCCCAACCCCTGCAGCTCGGCTGCCTGACAGCCACGTTTCTGGCCGTGGGGTGTGGGGAGGTCCCACTGGCCTCAGTGCTCCCAGCAGTGCCACAAGGCTGACCTTTTCCATACACAGTGACAAACCCCAACTGTCCCTAAGAAACTGGGGAACTGATCCCAGAAGCAACTGCAGTTTGATAGGCACAAGTCTGCTGGTACACAAATTCTGCTGACATCAAAGTAGAGCTCTGGCTTTGGCCAATGAACGTGATGATTGATCTAAATAAGGATTTGTGCAAGTTTTGATCTTGTCTCAGAAAATGAGGGAGAATGGTTGATTTCATGATTTTTACCACTCCTCTTTTCTTTTTTTTAAATAAAATGTGCCAAGCAGGGCTATCGTCTTCTCCCTTTTTATGATCATTTTGAGAGCTCCCAAGGCAGTGAGTTTTACCCTTCTTAAGGCTCCCATGACATAAAGTTTTCAGAGGCAGTTTTTGTTTTGATAAAACAAGCAGAGCTCGCTGCCCCTCCTGGACTCTCCCATTACTTAAACCACACAGCACATTCTGGGGTACAGCTTGTGTGAAGGGTGTCACCCCCAACACCCCCTCGCATTTATAGAATCACAGAACCATTGAGGTTGGAAAAGCCCTCCAAGAACCCCAATCCAACCCCTGCCCACCCCCCCATGCCCACTGCCCACATCCCTTTGTGCCGCATCCCAATGGTTCTGGAACACCCCCAGGAATGCTGACCCCCCACTCCTGGGCAGCTGTGCCAGAGCCTGACCAAAATGTTCCATCTATGCACATATATCTGCACAACGCCTCTTCCTGACAGTCTTCCAGTAACAACAACCTGCACACAGCCCAGAGGTCATTTGTTCCACCAGCACTGTGGTTTTCAGCCCACAGGTTTTACAGAGAACTGTGATGGACTCAGCCTGTGGGTTGCAGGGGGGACACAAATCCAGGGCCTCCAGCATCTGTAAATCAGTAATGATGCCACAGCGATTTTCAGAGGAGGAACTGCTGCAAATCACAAGCTGCGTAATTGCACTTAACCTAAGAAAATTCACAGCTAGAGTGGATTAGTGTAATTATTTCCATTTTCTTTCCTTTTTCTTTTTTTTTTTTTTTTTTACATTTTTTGGAAGGGAAAAGAACACCATTTTGAACATTTCATGTTGTACTGAGTGTCAAATCAAATCCGGTCCCAAACCAGAAAGCATTCCATTTCTGCAGACACCCGAGGAGGGCAGAACTGTGGGTTGCAGCCCCGCAAGAGGCCATGCTGGCACCCCCAGCAGTGCCCCCAGCACTGGAGGAGAGGCAGAGCACAGCTCCCTGTGTCAGCAGTGCCCGCGCTCACTGCCTGTGCTGGGATCCACTCGCACACCCACACAGGGTGCCATATCACTTCTCATCTCCTTATCCTGTTGCACAACCACGACAAGTTAAACCAGAAACGTTTCAGACCAGCAATCACAGAAATTACTCAGTGAATAACCACCAAGCCCAAAGCCTGCAGCAGAGCCCAACCAGGCCACACGCTGGCCCCGCTCTGCTGCCAGCACTGCAGTCAGCTTGGAACCTGGTCCTCTCCTACCGACCTCTGGTCAGAACCACTCACACCTCAGACACCGCAGGCTTTTTGCTACTGTTCCACCAAAAAAACAGATCTACAGTTTCATCACGAGCAGCAGTTCTCTGCGTTGCGTTTTTCTTCCCAGCAACGCCCCTCTCCTCCATTGGATTTAGTGATTAGAAACCAACGTGACTTACAGTTTACTGTGACTTTTACTTTTTTCACGTCTGGGACTGAGACGTCGTTTTCTGCGCTGCATTCATACTCCCCAGCCTGATCTCTTGTAATTCCATAGATGTCCAGGTACTGCCCGCTCTCAAATGGTTTTGCTGAAATAAAATAATCAGAGAAAGCAATTAGATGAGGCTGAGCACAGAGCACCTGAAGGGTCACTGAGGTCTGCAGGGCTGAATGGGAGAGCTGCTGGGCACCACCCCTGGGATGGGCTGCACAGAACATGGGAGCAGTGCTGAGCAGAGCTGCTGGAGCCTTACCTAAAGACAGAACCACAGAATCATTTCAGTTGGAAACGACCCCAGTCCACCCCCAGCCCACTCCCCATGCCCACTGCCCACATCACTCAGTGCACACACATCCCCATGGCTCCGAACACCCCCAAGGATGCTGACCCCCACCCCTGGGCGGCTGTGCAGTGCACCCTGGCACCCTGCCTCATTCCCCCTTGTCGTATCACTGTCCACCCTTGTAAGCAGCCGTTCCTCCTTCAAGTACTGCAAGGCCATAACGAGGTCTCCCCGGAGCCTTCTCTTCTCCAAGCTAAAACTAGACATGCTGAAATGTGTAATGATATGTAATTATCTGCTGGGGATATGTTGGGCTATAGGAGAGGGTCCTGCAGCATGGGAGGGAAGCAGCTGTGAAGCTGAGCTGGAATGCCCAGGTCCTGCTGCTGTGTGGTGACACGGTGCCCAACAAGGCAGTGCATGTGTAGCTCCTGGGAGAGAGCACAAGAGAACTGTGTTTCACATATGGTCTCTGGCATCAGGAGGAACGTGAGTACACCTCACCATATGGACAGCTTTTCCAAGGCGTGGATGGATGGGTTTTACAAAGGTTGTATCTTCCTCTCCCGTTGCTAAACATAAGTCAGTAAGAGGAAAAATCTGGTGCAAGTCCAGGGGGGCTCTGAAAAACTCTGAGGTCTTCATTTGAGCCAAGGCTGTTTTGCTGTCTGTTTGCTTGTTTTCTACATTTCCTGGGATATTTAACCACAGTGCAGCCCCAGCTCAGGAGCCCCAGGTCCCACTGGGCTGTGGGACCGGCCCAGCTCCATGGTGCTCCACTGAGCTGGTGTCAGCATGAGGAGCCCAGCATGGATCTGGGAGTGCAAGGAGGCTCAGCTATGCAGGTCTGCTGCATCATGGCTCCAGGTCACAGCCTGGGGAGCATCCCCATGCAGCCTGAAAGCTCCAGCATGGGTTCACCCGCATGTGTGCTGTCTCATATGGATTCTGTGTGAGCAACCATTTAACTGAGATGGCTGGTTTAGGTTGGATATGAGGAGGAAGTTTTTCAGCCAGAGGGTGGTGAGGCACTGGAACAGGTTGCCCAAGGAGGCTGTGGATGCCCCATCCCTGCAGGCATTCAAGGCCAGGCTGGATGTGGCTCTGGGCAGCCTGGGCTGCTGGTTGGCGACCTGCACACAGCAGGGGGTTGGAACTGGATGAGCAGTGTGGTGCTTTTCAACCCAGGCCATTCTGTGATTCTGTGATTCTGTGAGCAGGTGGGCTCCCCAGTGGCAATGCCATCAGGATGCCATCTGAGTGCCGGCTGTGCCATAAGTACCCACGGCCTGTCAGGTCCCATAGGCTGGGATCACAGAGGCATCTTTCTTCTCTCCTGCAGAGGAGATGTCATGGGATGCTGAGAGCAGCCTAAACAATTGGATTCAACCAGGACAGTGATCTGAAGCTGCTCCTACTACTTGCCATGCATTCAAGGTTTCAAACGACATCAAATGCTGTAATCGTACAGGATGTGCTCTTCTCCTAGGGGCTGTGGGTTAGCAGAACAGCTTGCTGTCTGTTAGGAGAGTGTGCCTACCACATTAGGCACCATTTAAACATTGTCAGCGTAAGGCCATTTAGCTTTAGTGATGCCACACTCCACATTTGTAAAGAAAAATCAGATAAAATGTAAAGAAAAAATGTCTGAAAGTGGCAGATAAATTGAGGGCTGAAGGAGATCTCCCCGCTGAAGAGATGAAACAAGAAAAGCAGTTTGGTGAGAAAGGTGTGCTGATAAAAGAACGTCTGCGAACAGCAGCTGACAAAGCAGAAAGTTTCAGAGGTGGAGACAAACAAGGTCAGATCTGTACATGTGATAGATAGGTATGGAGCACTGGGAGCTGCACGGGCAGCGCACATCTCAGCCAGCTATTGGGAGCTGCTGCATGTCACAGGGCTGCATGGGTCCCCATCAAACGGTGTGACAGTGTTCTTTCAACACAAAGCATAAATCAGCAAATTTTAAACATTTTAAGGGAAAAAGCAATCATTTTTTTCCTTAGTTTTGACACTACGTAATAACTTCACAGGGGAAATAACTTAGAATCACAGAATGGCCTGGGTTGCAAAGCACTACAATGCTCATCCAGTTCCAACCCCCTGCTGTGTGCAGGTCACCTACCAGCAGCCCAGGCTGCCCAGAGCCACATCCAGCCTGGCCTTGAATGCCTGCAGGGATGGGGCATCCACAGCCTCCTTGGGCAACTTAGAAACCACACACAGATCTTTCATTTTCCACTGCTTCCTCTGAGCTTCCCAGGCTGAGCAGAGCAGAGGCTGCTCCTGCAGGAGATGGAGGCACATTTCCTTGTTTGCGTTCTCTGAGGTTACATTTGTTTCTGTCTGCACTGAGTGCTGCCGCACTGCACTACGTATCTGAGACACATTAAGTTATTAAGTTACAGTATTTGGAGCAATTTTGAATGTTTTCCATTGCAGACACACGAGGGAGCACACCCAGAATACATTCTGACTTTCCTGCTCGAGCAGCTGAGCACTGGTATACAGCAGAGCCCGCTCCACGTCAGTGCTCACGGAGAAGAAAGTCAACTGCTATTAGGGAAGAGCACACACCCACTGGAGATGGTAGTATTCTTAGATACCTGCACGCTGTGTCACCTGGATATTTACAGATTCATGTGTACTCTTTGATCTCTTTTGATCTCTCCAAGAATGACTACTTCTGCACAGTAAGTGCAGCTTGCCAGCAGCGCCAGCTTTCCCATTGGCCCATGGTCCCACACACAGCCAGAGGGAAGGCAACATGCTGCAGGATGTGAAGCTCCCTTGGGCAGGAGGGGGTTGGAGGAGATCCTCTTACCCAGGGAACTGTATGTGAGCATGAGCAGGGCTGGGGAGTGCAGCTCAGCCCACAGCAACATGCTCTTGTGGGAACCCTCCTGCTCTCAGGACGATGCTCTGCAGGCAGTAGGCACCCTGTGAGCTGTTTGGAGAGAGCTCTTTGACTCAAGCACATCTGCAGATCCCTCCCATAGCACATTCATTTTTGTCTGTAGTTTGTTGAAACTGGAGGCATTGCTGAAGATAAATGAATCATTAATGATATATTTTTCATATTTCTTCTTATCCCTCAAAAGATATTAACGGTTTTTATAAAGTATGTGCATTTTAAAATAATTCTTGATATGTTTGAAATAGGATTTATTCATAAACATGGCCAGAAGAGATGATTCTGGGAAATAAATGGAAGCAGGCTCCAGGCTCCAGAATCGTGAAGGTGTGTTTTAGGGACAGGCTTTAATGGGCATAGTGGTGAGGGGTCAACAGCTAGATGTGGTGAGGTCTTTTCCAGCCTTCATGGTTAGGTTGGATATGAGGAGGAAGTTTTTCAGCCAGAGGGTGGTGAGGCACTGGAACAGGTTGCCCAAGGAGGCTGTGGATGCCCCATCCCTGCAGGCATTCAAGGCCAGGCTGGATGTGGCTCTGGGCAGCCTGGGCTGCTGGTTGGCGACCTGCACACAGCAGGGGGTTGGAACTGGATGAGCACTGTGCTCCTTTGCAACCCAGGCCGTTCTGTGATTCTATGGATCTATGGTGCCTGCAGCTCGCCTGCTATCCCCTCCTGAGCATCACTGGTGTGCCCAGCCTCCATTTCTACCTGCAGCCTGTGCCCAGCTGGGGGAAGGGAGAAAGAGTAACAATAAGCATAAGGGAGCATTAAAAAAAACAGAGGATTTGAAACGCTAAATGGAAAAGAGGCATCTTTTGGATTTTGGAAATCCTTTCTCCAAAGATCTGTGCACACCCCAGCACTGGCATGCTCTGCTCCAAGATGAACATCTCCACAGCAGTTGTGAAGGATGCTACACCAAAGGAAGGGGAGAGAAGGAAATCTGCACTTGCTTGGCTTGGTTTTCAGCACTAAAGGCTTGGTCTCACTGAAATATCTTTAATGATTCATAAATCGCTCACTCACAAATGCAGTGTTTCTCAAATAAAAATGAACTAATATCTGAGGGAATAAACTAAGCCTGTTTTAAAACTTTAATTTTCATGGCATTTTATGAGTTATTAATGAGTTCATCTACTTTTATTGAAAAGTGAGAAATACATTCCTCTTGTTATAAAATTGTCAAAAATTCATTATTATTTCTGCACAACGCTTTTGTCTGGTTTTCGTTTTCCCATCTCTAACTCACTGAGATTGGAATCTTACTCTCAATCCTCAGTTCCTTCACAAAGACCCAATTATTGGACCAGCACAGTGCGAGCACTCATCTCCTGACAACCGCAATCTAACAAGAGGGTTTTTTTCAGTCTGTTTAAAGATTTTAAGAAGGCTTGAGGATTTCTAGGAATATCTTTAATTGTTCCTGAAGGGATGCTCAAAGTTCAGGACTGGTTTCGATAATTATGACATTTTTCTAAGAATTCTTGCTCAGAAGCCCACTGATCGCAGCCGGTGTAATGTCACTCGACCTGGCGCGACAGACCGTGTACTGGATGTCACTTAATTGGATCCTAATGCTCCGCGTATCCCCCAGCAATGATGTTAGGAGCACCATTAAGGAAAAGAAAGGCCAGAAGGCCCATGGCCTGAAATCGGAAGACATCGTATGTCGCATGGGAGAGGTGTGGCTTTGGAGGATCATTATTTTCCCGGTATCCAAAGGCAAAGGAAAGAATCGCAACAAACCGTTTATATTAAGCACTAATATTTGCATTGCTGTCTTTAAACTGCTAATTAATCCCCTCATTTACTCTGCGTTGAGCTCCACACCATTTCCTCTCGAGTCCTTGGGATGCTGCCAGGAGCATGTTTAATAGGAAGGAAGCGCTGA